TTTACATAAAAGCCAATCGCTGGCTGAAAAAAAAAAATACAATACCAGGATGATGCTTGAAGCTGCGGGCATCATCCCGGTATAACCACTTAGACCTGATGACGTCCGTTACCCAGTTTTAAAGTGGGTAAAATGAATGCAACATACAGGAATTCTATGTTTATAACATACAGTTTCATTTTATGCCATTAGCATTGTAATAACAATACAAACAATAGTTATATGTGACAATCCTATAAATGCTTACTTGAAAAATCTCCTTTCATGTTGTGAGTTCTGCCTGTCTGCTGACCGTCTCTTTGCACAGCTTCCTGGATTCCCTGCATACTTTGCAGCTTCTCCTCCTGCTGTTTTTTACTTCCGATTCTAAGGACTACATATCCCATGGTACCTTGATGCCTTCAAGCAGTGATTCCCGTACTGATTCCAACTCCTGAAACGCCTCCCCTCAGTACCTCTGTAGTTTATAAGGCAGGTCCTGTAAAACGTGACACAGCAGTGCCTACCCACAGAACATAGTAAATACGTGTCATAGAATTCAAGGAAGTACGCCTGTGGGAATCTCCACAAAGCAAGTTATACAGACTCTATACATTCAGATTTGTATATTTTAACCATAGATACACTTTTAATTTTATCTAGTGCACCACGTCAGGTAGAGTATAACCTGTTCTGCAGACAATATTTTTACCCTTTTACCTGCTTTTGTTTCAAATTTTTTTTTTTAAATTCTGGTATAAAGCAGTTTTTATGAGAGAGTCTCCATGTGAAAATAGTTATATGTGCAAAAGTTCATATAAGGCAGAGAAGAGAAGACCAGCCCTCACTTCACTTTGTTATTGTAAAGTTCTAAGGCCTTTGGCTAAGTGAAAATCTAGTTGTTCATGTATGCACGCAATGCATTAGCTGTTCAATGGTAATGTGAAGAGTGTCTGATGCCTTGTTACACTAGATATTATAAGCCATCATGACCAGTAAAAGGCACCGTGAAAATTGGGAATCCAGTACCGTGTCCTATTGAGTGCAATGAATCATGGTCAGTAGTGGATAGGATGAAGAGAAGAGTGGGAATCTCATGTCTTGCCCCCTTGAGTGTAAGCCATTATGGCCAATAATTGGTAGGGTGAAGAGTTGGGAGTCTGCCTTGTCCCCCTTGGTGTAAGCCATCATGGCCACTAATGGGTCAGATGAAGAATGGTTCCACTGGTAGTAGTCATGGTGGCCAGTAAAAAGCAGGGTGAAGACTGAGCAAGGGAACAAAAGGAAAAGATGGGGGGGGGGGGGGTAATAAGAGGAGGAGGGAAATGGAAGAAAAGGGAGAAAAAAAAGTCAGTGAGGGCCAAAAAGAAAAAAAAAAAAAAAAAAAAGTATATTGTCACACCAATATTCGCTCACATTTCAAAATACAGTCTCAAATTGTGAAATAAAAAATAGTATAGTGCATGTTGCAATGTAAAATCGCTAAAAAAAAATATTGCAATGTTGTGACCAAGACACGTCTAAGCTGCAACAACCATATAAATATTCCTACACAGAAATGTCTGTCCATGATACCATCAGATAGGATCTCCTAGAGCCCGCTCTGTGCAGAGGGGTTGATGGTCACCTTGGTGTGCCTTGATTAGAATTCAATAACTAACATTACAGTTAGGGAAAAAAATTTTTTGGGGGGGGGGGGGGGGGTTAGTTTTGTGTAAGCTATAACCAGAGCAACTTGTAGGTTACAAAAGGCTTCTTTCCTGTGAACAGTGACTGGGGAGAAAAGGAAAGGTGCCTCCTAATTTCTGATCCTACTACTCTGATAGCTCACTTCGGCATGCAGGTATATTTTTGTGTGTTTGCAGTCTTCAGCTAGTTAGAACCTGCTTTTTAAAAACATGTTTCAGTGCAATGCTTCTCAAATCATGTATTGCCCTTTTTTCAACTTGGAGGAAATTCCAGGAAGCTAAACAATTCATGCCTAAACAATGAGCGTGGGGAGGAGGTGGGGGGTAGAATACTGATGGTTTGTTACTTCTCTTTACATCATTCGCCTACATCATTCGCCTTCATTTTTTGGGGCGAATAAGTGAGTAATTCTTGCTGTAGTGATTGGAAAGTGATACTAGGTGACATACTCAGGGGTTTCAAGGCAAATACTTTCTTTCCTAGAAAGTGAATTGATATTGTGCACACTAAAGGTAAAGGATTTGAAAATGTTCATGCAATAAATTATGTTAATCATTTCCCAGTCATGCTAAAGTAAGTAAATGGGGGTTTTCTTTTCACGTGATTGAAGTGAATCCTCATGTCAACATTCTCATTAGAAAAAAAGTATGAATTTTTTCATTGTAAGTAAAATTGTTTGACTCATGCAGTTGGTGAATTCTAGTTATTGGAACGCTTGCTTGGAGGTAATTTTGGACATTGTTGCCTAATTGTATTGGCTTTCGCAAGTTCTGTTACTCAGTGAAAACTGTTACCCTGTGTTTGTCAAGCAATTTAATTTTTCTTGTAATGGTTTTTAAAAGAGTAGGGTATCCTTACCTAGGTGGATGCAGCATCGGTCTCCCGCCGGCTCTAAGTGTGAGAACTCACATGACCGCTGAGTTCTCACCACCGTTGTCTGCTCTGCCCCTCAATGCTCACTGGAGCACTGGGCTGTGGAGGGGGAGGGAGTGGCTGGCTCAGGCTCTCAGCAGCTCTCTGAGAGGTTAAGCCAGGTGCCGCTCCAGACTCTGGGGTAGATCCCGACTCTGAAGTCAGGATCTTTCCCCAGCCTGGACCTGTAAGAGGAGCATTAAAGTACTGTCATTGTGCAGGAAGACTAGACCACAAGCAAGGTGTGTATTGAGGACAAAATCTACCTATTCGGATATCAATTTGTAAATGCTCCAGCAAGCATAAAAATTATCCTCCTTTAAAGTTGGACTCTGAAACTAGACCGCTTGCCCTAGAATAAGGACCAAGTATCTGCACATACCTTTTCATATCTTTTCATCTACCAATGTTCTTCCTAAATCCCACAGCACTCTGGTATGTAACTTTTCTTCTAGAGCTGGTCCCCACTGCCCCCCTGCATCTCTGACCCCCTGTCATAGTAATGGACCAATAAGATGCTGTAAAAGGATTCTGGCCAACGTATGGACAGTGTCAAGCTTACATGAGGGCTCTTTGAGATTAAGGGAACCCTGGGCCGTAGAGTAGACTTGTAAAGATATGTTCATATATACTGTGAAAGGCATACTTAAATCTTCACCATTGCATTAAAGGCTTGCATACACCTTAGATCAGTGGTGGTCACCTTACTTTTATATAAGGGGCCTCAGGTCTGCCCTCTGGCTTTGCCTAAGTGCTGCTTATTGTGTTCAGTGAATGTAATATACCATCTGTCAGAGTGAACACATGCAACAGGAGATGGTTAGATGCAGAAAACATACTTATAGGAGCTGTTGGAGTTTGAGGCATGCTTCAGGGGAGAGTCGTAGGCTGGAAACACATTACATGAGACTGCCCTGTTGCTTTTACTGCCCCTATACAAGTCAGTACTTCCACACTTGTGATTCCTAAAACCCTCCTAAAAATACTTTAAAGAATATATTTTTTCCCTCTTACGGACTTGATTAAGCACCTAAACAGACCACTATCTGCAAGGGGTTCTGAGAGCCACACACAAAGTGCCAACAAGCTACAGGTTAGGCCCTTATAGTCTGTTAAACACATTTGTTTCCATGAACTGGGTTATTGTAATTTAACTACTTGTCTACTTGTTTCCTGTTGTAAATGGCATCTGTTAGACTGGGATTTTTTACACACCCCGGCTACTGTGGTGTGTTTAAATTCGTAGAGCAGGTGATGAGCTTTCAGATGGAAGTAATTTGGGTACCTGTAAAGCCGCCCAACCACTTCCACAATCCACCGTCATTCATGGGACTCTAAACTTAGCAGTGAAGACATTTAAAGCAATGCCCAGTTGCATACAGTTTTAAGGATTGAAATGTTGGGTATCAATTTATTCATTGCACTTCACCTATATTATTTATCAGAGAATTGAGTGATCTATTGTGTTTTTTGTGCTCTAAAATTTACTGTATTTTTTAACTGAAAATTTGCATTCGATAAATATTCGATATATGTGCTAATATATCATGTGATATAAAATAATTTTAGCTATCACCATTTTATTCTCCAGGGTCTTTGCTTTCAGAAAATATATGCTGTTTTGGGGGTTTACCTAATCTTCAGGCCTAATATGTGCAAATTCAGCATGTGTACAAAAACAGAAAAAATGGCTTTGATAGGTGGTTTATACCTAAGGCAAGCCATAGAAGAGCCAAAAAAACAAAAGTTCTGCCGATCAAAAAATGAAAATAGCTCATATGATTGTGTCATCAATTGTTTAAATTTTCTACAAAAAAAACCTAGCATGTTGGATCGAAAGATACAACAATCGACATGAATTTCATTTATTTAATAGTCTATGGCCTGCTTAACTCCATGTTTTTGTAAACTTTACATTATTCCCTTCATGAGCCTTCTTGGCGTTTGGTGTTACATGAACTGTATGTAGCCTCAGTTACAAAGCTTCCTCTGATTGGCTGAGGCGGAGATTGTGATATCCCGCCTCCTTCCTTCTGCCTCAGTTAATCAATAAAGCCTGGTGTTCATTCAGAAAATAAAAAGCTTCTTGTGAACTATTGGGCAGTGCTCAGCCCTACTATTATTTTTGTTCTTGGACTGGACCGGGAAGTCCCTATCCTGCTGCTGAAACACAGTTCTGAATACTGTATGTAGCTAATGCTACATACAGTTCATACAATGTGACAGCCACTTAATGTGTTTGGAGAAGGCAATAGATTGTTTGTTTGGATCAGCTTGGTCCAAATGAATTAAAGCTCAATAAAAACATGGAGTTAGGCTTTAATATGTTAACTTTTTAATTGTGTTTTCTGTTCATTTTGCAGTTAATGTGTTATGATTTACGTTCATTTTGCAGTTAATGTGTTATGATTAAGGTGTTGATGTATGAAGAACATTAATCTGATCATTTTCAGGATCAGTTCGGAGCGGCGGAAGGAGAAATCTCGGGATGCTGCAAGGTGTCGAAGGAGTAAAGAATCGGAGGTCTTTTATGAACTGTCCCACCAGCTGCCTCTGCCTCACAATGTCAGCTCTCATCTTGATAAAGCCTCCATAATGAGACTCACCATTAGTTACCTGCGTATAAGAAGGCTCCTCGATGCCGGTAAGATGAAAAGGTCTAATAATCAGACAGTCTGAGCTGTTGTAGCTTGTTCTAGCAATCCTCTGTTTTTGTTTCAAGCAGATTTGTACTTGTATGTTGAAGTGTTTCTAAGGCCAAAACTTTTTAGTTTTAGATAACATATGGAATGGCTAAAATCCAAAGTGAAGCGAAATATCTTTAGTATCACAGGGACACTTGTTCCCTTTGGAAGGTTTCACCTTTCTGTTTAGATTGACTTTTAAAGGTGGGTTTTCCATCACTTTCTATCCCAATGACTGTGTTCACCGGCTATTACTGCCAGCAGTAAGAACCTGGAAGGAGTTGCAATTCTTCCCACAAAAAAAAATCTACTTTAGATTCCAGTTTGGGGCAAGATGCTGTTGCAGTTTTCCTTGACTTCTAGTCACGTGATGGGGAGGGTCAGCCAATCCAAACTCCGACCCTGCTTTGTTAGGGGTCAGTTAATCAAGTGCCTAGGCTTTTGGTCGGGTAAGCATCACTTGAGGGATTCTGGAGCATTATTTTCTCCAGAAGAAAGAAGAATGTTACCTTTTTTCTAATTTACTTTTGTCTATCCTACCATGATCAGTTTAAAATGACTTTTTTTGTCATCATCTGCATACGTGGCTTAGAGAGCTGGGAGTGAAGACTTCATAGGGGCATGTCCACAGGAAAGCAGAGAAAAGTTACTCATTTTCCCAGTGAAGAGCTGCGCAGGGAGGCATTTCGGCACAAGTCTGACCACTGGAGTACAGGCAGGCTGTGCTCCCAAATAGAATGCAAAAAAGAAAATTGACCAGGCTGAGATGGATGTGCTCTCATGCCTAGATTAGGCAATTTGAAATAAGAAAGCAGAGAGACTGGTAGGATCACCAAGTACTGTATATCACACACAGGAAGCAATGCAATGAAAATAGGATACTTTTTCATTCAAGTACATGGTACAACAGAGACACATCCGGGTTATAACATTTGGGGGGGGGGTAACATACTTAAACACCTAAGTAAAGGTCTAGTTTAAAGAAGAACCTCACTAAGTACTAAAGAATCTGTTGGGCTTTTTGCAAATTAAACATGTATTGGAGCCCACATGCCTCTGGTGCTCATGTTGACACATTTATATCTCTCATTGGAAATTCCTGCTCCCAGCAATCTCTTCTAAGATTTTGATTACAGGATTGCAAATTAATCTGCTTTCCAATTCAATTTAATTAGATATTAGAATATCACCTGTTGTCTTAGTAATTTTAACATAATCTTAAAGCCCTAACTTCATGTTTAAGATGGCCCAAACAAACTATTTCCTTCATTAACAAGTGCACGTGCTGGGAGCGCACACTTAGTCCTGGTGGGCAGGAACGGGTGCATTCATCTGAACACATCTGTGTTCAGGTCCGTGCACACGCTTCTGCCCACATGTTAACCTTTGACATATGATTGTGCTGGGGCTACATGTGCATCCATTTCTATGCACGCAGCTCTGAGGTGGATGCACATGCATCTGCCAGCAGCTCGGCACGGAGGATGGCACTAATCTGCCTTCTGAATGAGTCTGACTTGAATTTGTTCCGGGACCGGGAAGGGTAGTCTTCGACCTGCTAACAGAACACAACGCTGCCAGCTAGCATTATCAGAAAGAGGCCAACCAAGGCAGCCTATATACTTCTTTCATAACGGGGTTTTTGTTAGTGAAATGTCAGTATCTGTGACTTTGCGTGCTGGTTAATCCTGATTTGGTGCAATCCCTCTATTTCCTCTGCTGTTCAGAACAGCTGGAGCAGTTTAATCACAGCTAATTAAATGAAGGTTTATCTTCAGTTTCTGGTCACTTAAATGGCAGTATTCTATTGAGAGGATCAGCCTGACAGCTGGTCTGAAACGTTGTTGCAGAAAGCAATCATTGAACCAAGGTATAACATGACTGTCAAGTTGCTTTTGGCCTTGTAGATGCAAGTCTTCCCTTGTCTCCAGTTCCTCTGGGATTTATAGGAAATGTTAAGCAGTAAACGATACCTTTTTATATTTTGATTGTCAACTTTTATTCAGTAGTTGATATAAAAATCTAGCATTAAACAATCCAGGCTAGAAATTGATTTATGTGAAAGCATTGGATTGGCTAAAGACAGGGGAGTAGTAATTTACCCTCTTGCCAGCTCATTCATAAATTAGTGTTCCTGGTGCTGTCCTGATCAGTTGTCAGATTTGGTTCAGATTTTTTTCAGGATTCTCCCTAACATCCTGCTCTTGTGACAGCAGAAAAAGTTTAGACTTCCCTATCACTTTCCATTATGGAAACTGGTCACCAGGACAAGCCTCCTTAGTGAATTTTCCTAGGTTAGGAGACAGACTGCAACAAAGACTGGTTCTAACCCTCAAAGTTTTTTGTTTTTTGGGGGTTTTTTTTTTTGTACTTGCATGCATTTTTAAAGGAATACTTTGCAGACATTTTTTAAGGATAAGTTCACCTTTCAACAAAAAATAGTTAATGGGCATTTTTTTTCCAGATAAAAAAAAATGTGCATCTATTATTTTTTGTTTTAGGAGCCTAGAAGGTATTGCAGCAGCGCTCAGCAGATTGCTGATGCTATGCAGGACTCCTGCAGACCTGACCATGTATCTGCTTGCTCGTACCTCGTACAGGCAAGCTGACACTGACAGGAAGAATCCATAAACTACCACAGCACCTTGGTAGTTCATTGAGAACTGAAAGCCAACAGCCGCTAAGGCTGTCGGGACTTGTAGTTTCTCATTCACAGAAAACTGTGAATGAATGATGCAGCCAGGTGGGTGGAGCTTCGCATGGCCACATTTTTTTTTTTTAAATTGTATTCCAAATCCTGATTTGTTCACAAATAAATGGATAAAACAAAATGCATTCATAGAAGCTTTTCTTTTGATATGTTGGCCTTTTGTAAATGCCAGCTTTATTTTGAGGGAGCAGAAGTCCAGGATATTTATCCAGCATCCTTTGAAGCCGAGTTTCAGGCAAACCATTTTAGTGCACTGTTGTATTCAGGTGAATTTTTTCTTGTACCAGTATTATCTAGATATACCTGCCTGGTCCAGCTGCACTGCCTCCCCTGCATAATGTACTGTGTTTGAGCAATAAGGTTCCTCATCCTATGATTGCACAATAAAGTATCAGCACTACACTGCAGTACAACCCAACAGGATGGTACTGCGATCACTTGCTCTCCCAGTCTGATGTACAGAGGCATTCAGGTGGCTGATATTAAAATATATATCTAAATATATATATACAGTTAGGTCCATATATATTTGGACACAGGCACAATTTTAGTTTTTTCAGGTATTAGCCAAAACATATTCAAGCTATAGTTATATAATGGATATGGGCTGAACGTGCACACTCTCAGGTTTAATTTGAGGGTATGTACATCCAAACTGGAGGAAGGGTTTAGGAATTACAGCTCTTAAGAGTATCCATCACCATTTTTTAAGGGACCAAAAGTAATTTGGACAATTGAATCAAAAGCTGTTTTATGGCCAGGTGTGGGCTACTATGTCATTATTTCTTCATCAATTAAGCAGGTAAAAGGTCTGGAGTTGATTCCAAGTGTGGTATTTGCATTTGGAATCTATTGCTGTGAACCTACATCATGCGTTCAAAGGAGCTGTCCATGCAAGTGAAACAGGCCATTGTAAGGCTTCAAAAAGGAAGCAAATCCATCAGAGAGATAGCAGTAACATTAGGAGTGGCCAAATCAAAAGTTTGGTACATACTGAGGAAAGAAGAACGCACTGGTGAGCTCAGCAACATAAAAAGTCATGGACGTCCATGGAAGACAACTGTGGTGCATGATTGCTGGGTCCTCTCTATGGTAAAGAAAAACCCATTCACAACATCCAGACAAGTGAAGGGCACTCTCCAGGAGGTGGGCGTATCATTGTCAAAGTCTACAATCAAGAGAAGACTTCATGAGAGCAAATACAGACAGTTCACCACAAGGTGCAAATCATTCATAAGCCTGAAGAATAGAAAAGCCAGATTAGACTTTGCCAAAAAACATCTTAAAAAGCCAGAGCAGATCTGGAAAAGCATTCTCTGGATGGATGAAACTAAATGTAATCTGTACCAGAATGACAGGAAGAAAAAAGTGTGGAGAAGGCTTGGAACAGCTCGTGATCCAAAGCACACAATGTCATCTGTAAAACATGGTGGAGGCAGTGTGATGGCATGGGCATGCATGGCTTCCAGTGGCACTGGGTCATTGGTGTTTATTGATGATGTGACAGAAGCAGCCGGATGAATTCTGCAGTGTTTAGAGATATACTGTCAGCCCAGATTCAGCTAAATGTAGCAAAGGTGACTGGACGGCGCTTCACAGTACAGGTGGACAATGATCAAAAACACACTGTAAAAGCAACCCAGGAGCTTTTGAAGGAATAGAATTGGAATATTCTGCAATGGCCGAGTCAATCACCTGATCTCAACCCAATTGAGCATGCATTTCACTTGCTGAAGGCAGAACTAAAGGCAGAAAACAAAGAACAACTGAAGACGGCTGCAGTTAGAGCCTGGCATAGCTTCAGAAAGGAGGAAACCCAGTCTTTGGTAATGTCCATGGGTTCCAGACTTCAGGCAGTCATTGCCAGTAAAGGATTCTCAACAAAATATTAAAAGAAAATTTTATTTCCGATTATATTCATTTGTCCAGTTACATTCGAGCCCCTGAAAATGGTGGGACTGTGTATAAAAATGGCTGCAGTTCCTAAAATTTGTATTCAAGTTCAACCCCTTGAATTAAAGCTGAAAGTCTGTACTTCAAATTCATTTGGATTGTTTAATTTATTATTGTGGCATACAGAGCCAAAAGTATGGAAATTGTGCCTGTGTCCAAATATGTATGGACCTAACTGTATATATAGAATAGAATGAGACATGGTTAAAACCCCTGAGATTTTGCAGGGTTTATTTGCACAGTATGACCCACATCTATAGATATTTAGTTTATTTCAACCTAATTTGATTGCTTTGGGCCCTTCTCTTAGGTGACATGGCTGGAGAGTCTGAAATGGAGAAACAGCTAAACTGCTTTTATCTGAAAGCCTTGGAGGGATTTGTTTTGGTCCTGACTGAGGAAGGGGATATGATCTACCTGTCTGAAAATGTCAACAAGTGCATGGGACTCACACAGGTATGAATTGGGGCATTTTATACTTTGATGTAATGTGTTGTTAGTTCTTGTCCATATCTACAGCTTTATAATTTTGTGTGGATTTTCTTTTTTAGTTTGAGCTGACTGGGCACAGTGTGTTTGACTTCACCCATCCCTGTGATCATGAAGAGTTGAGGGAGATGCTGACATTTAGAAATGGTATGTACCTGTGAACCTGTGCAAATGATCCTGTATATATCCAAGTACAGACATATACAAGTAATCTTACCTCCTTATATTTTTTTGTCCATATCAGACAAGCTTTAACGCCCATCTCCAGGAGAATTAAATACAGAGAATGAAGAGGCTGGAGGTGGGTGGGTGGGGGGCTGAATGTCTTAAAGCCTTAAAGTGATATTAAACACAAAAGCAAACATTTTATTACTTTGCAGCTTAAAATTTCTTAGATGTGATAAATGCATTTGTTTTCTTTTTTTAGGCTTTCTTTCCTTTATTTTAATCTGGTGATCCAGCCATTAAGTTTGTTGTTTTTCAACACAGGCTCTCCTGCAAATGTAGCAGAGTGTTGAGACAATCAATTTAACAGTGACTGGAGGTCTTGCAATAATCATTTATTTATTCATGTGAAATCTTTATCCCAAAAGAAAAAAAAAACCGTTTGTGTAACTGCAGTGTGAGCTGGAGTTTGTATGTTAGTTTGTGGAGATTGTTAGTGTATCTAAATCTGCTAGTACATCTAACTCTCACCTCCTCCTGACTGACAATGCTGACATAGATGCCTCTGTACTTCATACAGAATGAAGCCGCTGTAATACCAGAGGTGGGTTACTGTCCAGATCACCTGTTGAAAACTGAGCTGAGAAAAAGACTAATGCAGCCACCACATCTAATGATTGTTAAGCTGCAATATAATACATTTTTGGTTTTGGATTTAAAACTGCTTTAATGCTTCTTGGTCTATTTGCAATGTGTTTAGTGACCTGGTCACCACGTTAGACTTTCCAAAATATCATTAGGATGTATGGAAGTAGCCCTTTTTCAGGCTCTTAATATACTGCTAATTCCCCATTAGTCAATAAATGGATCTCCAATACTTCTGGGTGTTGGAGGCATTCTCAACCTGACAGCAGCTGCTGGTCCAAACCAAATCTAGCCATTGGATAAAGCTGAGTACACACTGCGTGTAGAGCTGTATGTCCAACAGAAGCTGATCTAATGACCAGCTTTTGTTCAATGGACATGCTGGAAAACTGGCATCCAATCTGCGATTGGGGATGGGGGGGGGGGCAGTGAAGGGGGAGAGCTTCCTAGCTGTTAGCATTCAATAGAACAGCAGGGGAGATCGCCATACCAATACAAGCGATGTTGATGCGGCAATCTGTCAGTTGTTTCTCCTTCAGCCCGATGTCGGTGTGTACCCAGCTTTACCAGTAGTGGTTCAGTCATTCTAATGGGAATCAAATGAAAATGTCTGGTTTAGGTAATTATCCCTTTTGATTCCTATTTTGAGAGTAGACCTTGGCAGATGTGCACATAAGAATAATCAGACGTTCTGCATTTATGGTTTGGGGTCAGTGACTACAATATTGAAGCCAGAGAGAACAGTCGGGCAATCGGCATTCTTCAGATGAACTCCACCGTGACCCTCATGTTTCTGTAGCAGTTTGCGAATCTGTTATTAATCTCAAAATCACGTTTTTGTGATCCAGATTGCCTTATTTGAAAGTATAGCCAGATCACTGTTGTGTGCTAGAGATGTAAAAAAAAATGTCATAATTGTTTTTTTTTCCAGGAACAAAATAGGCATTTCTCAAATACAGGTAAGTTAGGTCAGTGATGTCCATTCATAGCTGATTCCTGCTGATGTAGTGTGTGGGTCATTTTGGCCTCTTGCACATGGGTGTATTATAGCATAAGCCCATGCAATTGCCTTGTTTGTACGCATGGGGATGCATCTCCCAGAAATGTGATAGGAGTGAGGAGGGTGAACCCTCGAGTGAATAGGCCATTGCCTGTTCATTTGCATTTTTATATGGTGAAAATGCAGCATAAACCTGTTCTTGCATTGATCGGTTTCAATTTACATGTACTTCAGGACCAGCAAAGAAAGGTAAAGAGCAAATCACAGAGCGCAGCTTCTTCCTGCGTATGAAGTGCACACTGACAAGCCGGGGGAGAACTGTGAATATCAAGTCTGCCACGTGGAAGGTAAGAAGCATTCTGTATAGTGGGCACAAGGACAGTGTTTTGTTTTTTTTTTTGTTTTTTTTTTGTTAGATGCTTTATTAATCATTTTGGGAAAAAGACATGCTGACATTAGTAACAGAGACCTTCATTATCAGCTTCTCTGTGTGTCATTAACTGTGAATGTGTGTAAGCATGATCTGCTGCATTGAATTGTGAGCATCCCACAAGATTGAATTTAATTTTGGTTTTTAGGTTCTTCACTGCACGGGGCACATGCGTGTGTATGACAGCTGCAACAGCCAGAACAATTGTGGATATAAGAAACCACCCATGACCTGTATGGTGCTGATCTGCGAACCCATCCCCCACCCATCAAATATTGAATTTCCATTGGACAGTAAAACCTTCCTGAGCCGCCACAGCCTTGACATGAAGTTTTCTTATTGTGATGAAAGGTATTTAACAAATCTTATCCGTTAAGCTTCCCTTGCAAAGCCCTAAATATACTCAAAGTGGTTGTAAAGGCAGAAGGTTTTTACCATGCAGCTTCTCCCTTAGTCTCCCCTTATTTTTACCTGAGTCCGATCTTGATGCAGTGATGTGCACGAGAGTTGAGGCTCTCTCCTCTCTTTCGCTCCTCGTTGGCTCTAATACAGCAGAGGGAGCCATTGACTCCTGATGTCAATCAAAGCCAGTGAGGAGGGAGTAGAGGCAGGGATGAGCTGTGCTCTGTTTGTCTTAAGGACAGACCGAGCCAGCTCAGGTGCTAGCACGCACGGGTGCCCCCCACAATAAGCAGCTTGCTGTGAGGGCACTCAGTGGGGAGGAAGAGCCAGGAGCGCCAGCAGGAGAACCCCAAGCAGAG